AGAGCTGTTGCATTGGATTGCATTATATGGTACAGGTTTACCTAATGAAGTGGTCAGTGAGTGTATTTCTTATATTATAGTCATTTATATTTCTCTTGTAAAGTCACATGAGTAGCTGATGGTTGTAATGCAGAGAAACCAGTAACAACTTCAGAACAAACCAGATGGATAGTAAGAAAAACTGCACGGGTCTTTTTGTTGAGCTTTTAAAAGAAGTCAATATAGTTGAACCGATACAATGATTTCTTTTTTTTTTTTTTTATCATAGTATCGGTTCTCAAGTTGCCTATAATTGGTTACAGACAGACAACAGTGTGTAGAAATAGGAACTGTTAAATCTGAATCTTTTTGAACTGTAAAAGGTGTCCCACAAGACTCAGTCCTAGGTCCTGCTCTGTTCTCTTTTCTGTTCATTTCCTTAATTCATTTATTTATTTATTGAATAGGCATTAAAAATAGGAATTGTAAAAAGAATTTATGAATGAATGATTAATTTGTCAGTACATACTTCAGATTTAAAAATGGATTTACAAAAACAGCATAAAAAACTCTAACATTAAATAAACTAAACCATTTATATGGTTTTACCCTCTCCTTTCAGCTGCTCTGTGACACTCTGGACCTTCAGTGCTGGTAAAACCAGGCTAAACAATCCCAATTGGCTGTGGGATGTAACAAGTGCTCTATTTGGTTGGGGAGCTAAACAGTCATATCATATGGATTTTACCAGAACTGAAGGCCCAGAGAATCACAGAAAGGCTAACAGGAGATGCTAAATGACTAAGCTAATCAATTAGCTACTAGGAAAAGGAAAAGCAGCTGGAAAAAAGAAATGGAAACTTAAGTGGTAATCCAGGAATGTATTCCCATTTTTAAAATGCCTTTTCAAATAGTTTTTTCACAATGGTTTTGATTTCTCTCATTATATTTTTTGTTTTAAGGTTACAAATTTGCAGTAGTTTGTTATGTTTTAAAGTCATATTTATTTGCAATAGTTTTTGCATCAACTCATGACATGTTTTTACAATTTTATACAATGTTTTACTTTGTACAGTTGGATTCTATCAGCCCACACGTTTAACATGATGTTCACTGGGGCTGAACCTCAGAGTTCAGGTGAGAAATTGAAAATAAAGTGCTGTTAAGTACAGTTTTGAGGTACTTTACTTGAGGGAAATATTGTTTTACTTCATTACATGTATCTGACAGCTGCAGAAATTAGTTACTTCACATATTAAATGAATTTCCCCTAGGGGATATATAAAGTATCTTTTTATCTATCTATCTATCTATCTATCTATCTATCTATCTATCTATCTATCTATCTATCTATCTATCTATCTATCTTTTGTTGCAGGTAATAACTTTTGAATGCAGGACTTTTACTTATTTTTATAAGCCACTGACTCATTAACTCACTCAGAGGATCTGAACGTGTCTTCTTCCTCTTCCTTTTGCACAAAATGAAATCACACTCCCCATACAGAAATGTAATCGATGACATATATGTTCCTATATCTAGAGTGATGTTGTTGTGAAGTTCATAACATGAAATACCCATAGTAAAATGTACATATATTAAAGTATCTATGATGAATTTTTATATGACATAACATGCTGCGACGATAGATGTTAACGATATATATTTAACTTATATATTCAAGTTTATTTAAACATCTTATATATAAAATATATAATATAAAATATCTACATGTTTATGTATGGTTTTTAATTAATTTCTCATTAATTTTAAACATGTTGATCTTCACATTCTGGGAAAGTGGTCTCAGACTTTTGGACTCTACTGTTTATAATATCAACATATACTGACAGGCTTTGAGATGGATATGTATTTATGTAACATTTGTCTAGAATAATCAGTAGGCATACATACATAAACCATCTTTTCCTGGAGCACTTCCTGTTAACCGCTGGAATGTGCCTCGGAGTTTAAAAATAAAATATCATTACAGCAGCATCTTCTTTTTTTTTTTTACATTGTAATTGCAGCAACAACTTTTTTTCCATCCTGAATGTAAAACACCTGAACACTCACCCTCCTCTGCCTGTGTGTCACAGCCAGTTTCCCACGCCCACAGTAAGATGAAAGTGGTCCAGACGAACCTCAGTTTACTGGTCCACACAGCCATGGTTTAAACCAGCTTCAGGTCTGGATCGTAATCCACTGCTGCTGCTTCCATCCGAGCTGTCGTTCAGCTCTGAGTATTTACATCACAATGACTGCTCACAGGAATGTTGTAATCAAACTCATGAAAAGAGCCCCGTCCTCCTCCTCCTCCTCTGAAAAACATGCCTACACCCTTTAGACCTCCAGACCTTCACATCCTAAGTTCACTGTGTGTGTCACTAACAACCCTGTCTCCTAGAAAATAACACTTCTATGCAACGACACAAGAGCAAAATGTTTAGTGGGAAACGTTTCTTATAAAACAGACTTGCTGTTGCACTTAAGTTGTATAGCAACAACTTCTAGTGGATATAACCCAGAACCAAGTACAGTGATATATGATATGAAATCCTTGACATTTAATGTAAATGTAAGTAACTTTTGAGGACGTTAATGTGTCATTCAAGATATGAAAAGTCCTTGTAAATGTACAAATGCCTATAGACATTATGCTTGAGAAATTGAACCGAGCGTCTTGGCTTCGTCTGACTGGGCTAGAAAATAGCTTTTGATGATAATGAAAGTGTAGATGATCACTGCCACAGAAAGAAACCAGCACCACTGCCACACTGAAGCGGATAAAAATTCTGCTATCAGGTTAGAACAACAACACAGCTTCACTGCAGTGAGAAGTTACAATAAAGTCTTATTTAATAGTTGGTGTAACCACTTCAATGTAATCTAATCTTCTCAGTCCAGCATTGGGCAAGAATTTCTCACTTCCTCTTTCCACAAATTCTTTCTTTAGAAATGTTGACATTCAGGATTTTTTGCTGTCATCAGCTACTTTTAATGGATATTTACCCATGATCAAGGAATAAAAGATACCACTTTACAATAAAACTATCCAATGTAAATAACTAGTTTATTAATTAGCTTGTTAACACTTATAAATCATTTATAAGCTGTTATAACACACTAGAAAAAAGGTTGATATATTATAACTGCAAAAGGAGCCTTATTGTAAAGTGTAAACACATCACCATTTATCAATGTGTTACTATTATTTTTCATTATTATTATCACTGCTATTACTATTAACTTTTACCTCATTAATAAATGATGGTGTGTTTTACACTTCACTGTAAGGCTCCTTCTACCAGTTATAAATGGTAGTAAGTCATTAGTAAGATTATTGTTTTATAAACAATTATTTATAAAGTGTTAACAAACCAATTAATAGATACTGTCCTCCTGTGAAAAACTAGCCGTTTGTGCAGCAGCTTATTACGACCCATAGTTACGTTTTGTTGCTAGGCAACATGTAGTGGCCGTAGTAATTATGACAGGAGCAAAGGGAAAAGTGCGTTGATGTAGTACAAAGAGAGACAAAGTACTAATTAAAAGCTGACACTTTGTATTACCGTTAAAAACACAGAAATGTGAATTGATTGACTGAGATTCTAATAGGCCTATAAAATGATTTGATATGTGATAAGAATGTTGCTTAGACATCAACAGCGCTTGTGATGATGTTTCATGTTCACTTTCATTTTCAGTTTTGAGTGAATGGAAATTATTTGCTGCTGGGCTCTGCAAAAAAATAATTTCTTAATATCTTGTGCTGAGCTACAGTTTCTCATGCCATGGAAAAATACACTGACACATTTCCCATTTCAAAACAGCTCAACGCATTTCAACAGAAAACTGCAAAATTCCAGATTTTATCAACTAGCTGGAGGGCAGGAGTTTTACATATAAATGAACATCAGTTATATTCAAACCGTTGTCAAACTAGTTCACAATCTATCTATCTATCTATCATGGTTGTTTCTTCCGCCAACCAGCCATCAGAAAATATGATCACAACCTCTCCTTCCTGAGTTACAGTGTTGAGTAACAGCCAGAGGTGTTCTGCAATATTATTCAACATTAGGACGTGACAGTGAAGTTGATTTTTGACCTTTGTGATATAAAACATCATCACTTCATTTTATCCCTCTGGACATTTGAGTTGTGTCATAATCAGTGTATGAATGTGTGAGTTATGGCCAAATATATGTTTTGTGAGGTCACAGTGGCCTTTGACCTTTGACCACCAAAATGTAATCAGTTCATCTTTGAATGTTTGTGCCAAATTTGAAGAAGTTCCCTCGAGGCGAATGTACGGACGTACGGACGGACAAACCAAGGCATAAAAAAGTTCTCATCATCTCATTATTGTACATATTTTCTCAGGTATTTTCTGTTATATTATTTCTGTGGTGAATGAAACTGAAGGCAGTGTAGTCTGTTCCATCAGACGTGAAAGAAAAATGCACGTGTATGTAGCTTAAAACAAGACTTTCTTTTTTAGATGCTGTCTTATTCGTTAGAAAGACTTCCATCTCAAAGGTTAACGCACTATAAAACTTTGTTTGGACAAAGTCAAACTAAATTCTAAATATGACGCTAATAACATCTGTACTGACTGACTCCGGTCACAGGGGGTGTCTGTAGCCTCATCTTCACAGCACTGAAAGTGACATCAGGTGAACAGCTGCTGAAATACTGAGGGTGGTTTAACAACCACAGTATCAGATGCAGTCCATTATTTTTAATGTACTTTATTATTGCATTTATTAAACGGCATTTGAGTGTCCCAGCCAGGTGCATGACTTTCCCCTGGAAACACTCCTGTTGTGCTGTGAGTATCTGCAGCTCATGTGTTTGTGTTTTGTCCGTTTGCATGTGTTTTCTTAAGCTGCAGTGTGTTGAGCCCTCAGGGCCACCGTACATTTTTGATAAACCATATATGAATTCATAAACTAATAGAAATAAAACAGAGCAGATTTAATCACAGAAAGAACTACACAAGACGTGGAAAGGCATTCAAATCTTTTATATTTGTAAAACTTTACAAATAGTGCAAATATAACATGAAACCACAGTCACCATTTCGACCAGCTGTAGGTGGTCAGACCTGCTACACTCAGCAGTATGGCATCACGAGAACTGCAAACCTTTACACACAAATAAAACCAGTCAGGCCCAGAAGTGTCGCTGCCTGTTACTGAACACACTCGACTGAAGTAAAAACATGTGACTGTTCAGTGCAAAGACAAGGAGGAAGTTTCCTTTCAATTTTGGAACAAGATGAAACGCCAATTCACTTTTAGCAAATGTTAATGTTGTGTAAATGAAGATTCGGCTTCTGTCACGCAGGAACATTCACACTTTCACCTTTCACTTCAGAAAACTACATTTGTGTGATGTAAAAGTTTTTTTTTCCCCATTTTGAAAAATAAATTACAGGTGTAATTTATGGCAGCAAAAACAAACCTATATGTACAAGTCTCATGGAGATGTTCCGGTTTCTATGAACATTTTCTAAAACGCTACAATAATGAATAAAGACTCTGAGCTTTGTTTAAAATACATAAAACTTTAAATGAATCCAATAAGTTAGTTAGAAGGCTGATTCGGATCCTGCTTTCCTTGCCCTTGCACCTCATTGGCACCTGCAGTCAAACAGTATGAAAACATCTATAAACATCTACATTAGATTTACCTTCTATTTTCCAAATGGACACATTTTCAGCTTGAAGGAAAAGATAAAGCAAAACAACAAACACATCTGAACACACGTGCTGGGTGACATGACCGAGGTTCAACTCCAGCGGGTTCACCGCAGTCAGTGAATCTGCTCGTAGAACGTAGAACGTAGAACGTAAGGCAACTGTGGTGATGAATTTCATATTCAAAAAGTGTAATTTCCTCTGCGGTGAGTTCATTTTAAATGGCTTTAACCATGAGTAACCTAAGCCTAAACGTAACCAATCAGATGATGGGATCTGAGGCGTTCTCACCCTTCATCAGGAAACACTGAATCCTTGTCATTTTGGAGAATTGGCACTAGATTTTGGTTTTCAGCAGGTACAATCCAAACCTGGCAGTACTGGTGTCAGTCTTCAAGAACCCACAGCGGTCAACCTTAATCTTTTTGGCTCATATCTGTAGAAAACTTTCAATCAAACACACTTCACATTCAAAATCACAACAGCCACTAAAGCACAGCACAGAAACTGCAAAGCAAACAGTCTACAGGCCCCAGCAGCAGCTCTCTGAGGCGGCGAGGCCTCCTCCGCTGAGCGCTGACCCTCCCGCACGGTTTGGTAGATGGATGATGCGTTGGCCCGCCTCAATCACCTCAATCACCTTTGGTCATAAAATGCAGCCACGTTTTATGACAATCAAAAGGCGAAGCAAACAAAAATAACACTAAACACAGCTGACATGTCTCAGACCCCTCACACATGTTCACCCTGTTCTCTGGTACAAATACACTTCAGCTACGTTGACGGCCTGATCGTCCTCTCACTGCTGACTTAAAACCAGTCGGTCAGTCAGACGACCAGGCACCACTGTCCCAGCCTTGGTTTTGTCTCGAACCCACTTCGTGTCAGACAGGCGACTGAGCGCTCCACAGACTGGAGGTCGCCACCATCACTGCATCACACACTTCTCCTTCTGCTGTTTAGCGTACTTCCTCCTCCGCTGCTCCAGACCTCGCTCCAGACGTTCGTCCTCCTCCAGAGCTCTGAAGACGAGGACAGAGGAATGGAATATATGACTTATACAGTATGTCCCTACATCAAGAGTGATGTTGCCATATGTTACCCATGAGGGGATATATTATTATTACATATATACATCCTCTGCATATATGAAGATATAAGTTTATCACATATAAAAAATACCCATGGTAAAATGTTTATATATATCAAAAATATCTTTAAATAAGTTTATTTAAACAACTTACCAATAAAATGCTATATATGTTTTCTTTATTCATTTTGAACATGTCTATTTCCTCATTCTGGGAACGTGGTCTCACACTTTTAAAACCCACTGTATATAATATGAACATATTATTATATTTATTATACATTATATTTCTGATGGATATATACTTTCAACATATGTCTTATATAAGCATACATACATAAACAGACATGTTTGTATGGGTTGGACATATATATGTCAATATATGAAATTGTTCCAATTTCTAATAGGTTTCATATATCATTTTTACATGCTTTTATATTTATCTATATTTTATATATGGATGTACATATATTACATTTGCGTATGGGACATGTCTGACAGAACAGAGCCGTTTCTACTTCAATGACTACAGCTGTGCACACACAGCAGACAGGGATCTTTAAAGACGTTCAACTAAAACTCAGCATCACATCGATCCAGCAAAGTCATCTCCAATAGATACGTCCACTCTCTGTCACAGTGAAGCTGCATAAATACAGTTACCACATGGAACAGTCATGTATTCACTTCTAACACAAGGTGGACCGTCCCAGTGTCACACAAACCAAAAGAATGGACACACAGTGACTGCGGGGAACATACAGATATTAAAGCACAGTCTCATCTGATCATTCAGCATTAATGTGTGTAGTGTTGTGGTGATATTGACGTGAGAAATCCAACAGTTGGTATCTACAGTGATATAAATCCAGTCTTAAAGGCAGGAGGCACTGTGTCAGTTTGTGTGTGTGTGTCTAAGTTCTTAGTAAAGCTGATAGTTGAGTTTAGTTACAGCTTTCTAACTTAATGACCTTGGTCTTCCTCTTTTTAACTCGTCTAATTTATCAGGTTAAGTGTCTTTAAATATCTTAAAAACAAAATGTACTGTTGTTATTATTGTTGTGGTGGCAGAGACAGACACTCAGTCTGGGCTGGGTATTGAACTCTGATACTTTTATGGACCAATTGAATTAGTTTGATTCTAGCAACGATCAATATATACATTGGATCCCTCAGGAGTGAATGAGTAAATCTCACCAGCATCAGTGAGCCAACATCTAATAATGCTGCTGATTGGCTGTTTTTTCACACAACATGTTTGAGTGAGCAGTAGTGAATTGTAATTTTGTTTTTGTTAAAAAAGTCTCATTAAGAGCCCTGCACCCATAAAAATATCTGATCAATGAACTTTAATTAAGACTGATAAGAGCGTCAGTGTGTGTCATTATTATGACATATTATGTCCTTCTTTCTCTTTCTCCGTCTTTCTCTGCTACCACAGACTGTCTTCTGTGCGTCTCTTTGACATCTATAACCGTGTCCTCTGGTACTTCAGGCGGTAAATGAAAACACTACACCTGCGAGAATGTGTTCTGTGAAGTGCTGTGTAGTATCTGGCTGCGCTGCCTCACACTGTGCTGCCATCTAGTGGTTCAATCAAGGACAAATCACTTCAGAAAAAACACTGCATGTTTGAATGTGTTCACATGTGGTCCAGTACAACCAGCATCAATCATCTAATCCTAATAGAGCCTGTGAAGGAAACAGACAGCCACTTTATCAAGACTCAGTGAGCGTCTCACCCTCTCTCTTGGGCGTCCATATTGTGGACCAGTTCGTCTCTCTGGTTGACCAGTGACACCAGCTCCTGCAGAAGCAGCTGCTCTCTGTGTTTATGGGCCTGACTTTTCTGCCACTCTGCACCGCAAAGACAAGAGAGAAACAAAAGGAACAGAGGAGAGAGGGATGAGACACTTCTGGAGAGGAGAAAAAGAATGACAGTGGTACTCTTTGTCGCAGAGGAGGGATTGTGGGGATTGTTAGAAACAGCACAAAAAGGAAAAAAGGACTCGACAGTGGACAAGCAGCTGATGTGCTGGTGGTGCTGATAAAATGATATCAAATCATCACACATGTAAACTATCCAATATAAACTCATCAATACATTTAACCTGTGCAGTCGTACTTCCCCTCACTCTCTGTCCCCCAAAATATTTCTATAGTCCTTATATCACTGAGCAGACATAAAAAAATGAGTGAAAAACATTGACTGAACAACAATCTTACTTTGTGATGGAAGATCAGTTCAGACTCACATTTTTAAATTTGTTTTTAAAATATTTTTGTAAAATTTCATTTTTACATTTTGACTGCGTATAAGACATTTAAAGACACAGTCTTTGGGGTTTCAGTTATCATATGGTATTTTCCATGTGAAGGCGGCAGATGTCCTTCATCATGTATAACCAGCACCAGGCTGTTGCAGAACAGACATCAAACGAGTCATTTACATGATGTATTTCAGCAGTCAGGGCTGTTATTATAAAAGATCATATGCTGATTGAATTCTGACTGGAAAAAAGAATTTGTTATAAAAAAATCCATAATTATTAGTTATTATTTTACCACTTTTTTTATTGTCACTGTTCATCTACTGAGCCAGAAGGCAAAGCTCTCGATTTACCAGGTGATCTTTGTTTTGACCCTCATCTGTGGTCATGACCTTTAGGTAGTGACAGAAGCAACCAGATCACGGATACAAGCGACTGAAATGAGTCAGGTTGCGGCATCTGGTTAGGATCCTCCTGCTCTCCTTCCAGTGGAGGTTTTCCAGGCTCGTCCAACTGGTGAGAGGCCTCGGGGTGGACCCAGAACACACTGGAGAGATTATATATCTCATGTGGTCTGGCGAAACCTCAGATATTCTAGGGGGCGCTGGAAAACCTTTCTAGGGAGAGGGACGTCTGGACTACTCTGCTTGAGCTGCTGCCACCAAGACCTGAGCTCAGGTAAGTGGCAGAAAATGGATGGATGGGTGGATGCATGTCATTTACAAGTTGTTTTGATTCGTCCAGCTGAAAGTTGGTTCATGTCCAGGTAGAAAAGTTTTATAAATCAAAGCTCAGAAGCTCCAGTTGTCCCAGAAAGCTGCTTATCTCACACACTACACTCAGCCAGTTTCCACTGTTAAAAGGAGAAGTTAGATGTGTTATGTCATTCAGGAGTAAATATAACCCAGAGCTACAGTCACACACAGTTTTTGGTCTTGAGCTTCTTTACTTTTGTTTTTGTCACTTGTGTGATCTAATTAAGTCCAATGAGGAAGCAAGTCATGAGCAAAGGGCTGCAATCTGAACGTTCACCCACACTCAGTGTTTAAGGGAAGATCAGTCTGGCATGGAGTGTTGTTCAGAAGTAAAGGTGTACCTTCGATCGCCATCATGTCTCTCAGCTCTTTGTTTAACAACTCAAATCGTCTTTCCAGGTCTTGTTCTTCCAGCCTGCCAATCACAAGAGATGCATTAGAAGACGTGAGACATCTGTGCTGATGGAGGGAGATTTCAAAAGAAGGACAAATCATTTATTTCTTACTTTGCTTTTTTTGAGGGAAAGAGAAAAGTCTAAACTCAAGTCCATTTATCATGTTCCAGAGCTTTTAGTTTCATCTTCCAGTCTTCCTGGCAGATGGAGTTTGCTCAGTCTGCTCAGTTATAACGGAGATGGCTCAGTTCTCCTCAGACAGTACTGAAGGATTGATGAAGCTGAGATTCATTTGAAAGCTCCGCAAATAATAAGTGAAACTTGCGTTTTTACGTTGTAAAATGTTTTTTCGCCTGATTTTGTTGCGACGTGCTCCTTGTCTATCTCTCACCCCATTAAATCACAATGACAAAAAATAAGTTTGATCCTTTTTACTAACACTCTTACTAGCACCCACCTCAATCCTCTCTCCCTGAATTCACAGTAGTGAATGTGGTAATAAGGTAAACTTCATCATCGCTGTTGTACCTGTTTTCATGCGTTTACACACACAGGACTGAACATAACCAGGAAGAAAACAGAACAGCAACTAGATGGAAACAAATGAGGTTTTATCTGAAACTATGAAATTCTAAATTAGAAGTGCATTTTCACAAAAAATGGGAAAACTCATGTTCCAGGAAAGAATATTAATTTTCACGGACAGTTGACAGACAAACTGGGACGGGTGCTAACCCTACTTCAGACAGAGTTTTAGGAGCTTTCCACTCATGTGCTCTAAGTTTGAAGTTTCTTTGAAGTCAACATGGGTGACATGCTCTTAAAGTTCTCAGATAAAGAAGGAAGGTTTTAAACAATTTCTACAATTCCTTGACAACTGGACAACTCCCTCTGCTGAGGAAGATTGTGAAGAGTGATCAAAAGCTCCAGAACTGCTACTGAATGGACCCGTGGTGAGATTGTTTGCCAGTTGTGAATACTGTTCTGTAACTTCTACAGTTCATACTGAACATGTTTCCAGCAGTGTGTGTGGTGGATGTCTTACAGCAGCTGCAGGTGGTCCTGCCTCCTGATTAGAGCGTTCTTCTTGTTAACCAGCATAAACCATTCCTGGATCAACCTCTCCTCCTCCACCTTGTCACTACCTGTCAGAGAAAATAACATCACTGTGACCATTCTTTCAGTTTGAGGCCAGGTAGGTTACAGGTTCATTCTCTCACATTACTCATTTTGTTCCAATACCAATTTTTCAATGTTGAATTAATTTGTTCCCTCGAAATATTTGTAACCTTGACTTTTGAATTGTTATTGTGCATACGCCTGCACCCGTGACCTGCTTCACTGAGATTCATTTTCTGCAGGAGTCCTGCGTTTCTTACCTGTTTCCAGGAGTTGTCTGAGATTCCTCTCCACCGCACATGCTCTGTTATCAATATGATTTTGTTCTGCTTCCAGGGCTTCCATCTGACTCAGAACATACTGACTGGCATCCTGGATACATTAATACATGAACACAATTACCAACAGAATCTATGTTTTTGTATCAATGGTTCAAAGTGGAATACAGGGAGACCCAAGCTCTAGAGATTCAACCCTACATTGACACACATGGGTACGAACTGACCTGGCCCTCCGGTCGTCCCTCCTCAACTACAGCCTCGGTTCTCTCTGCAGGACAAACCAAAAAAATTAACTATAACTATAATGAAGTTGCCAAAAAACAAAGTCAAGTTTTCAAAGAAAATCAAGAACTCACCAGTGTCTGACTTCCTGCGGCCAGTTGCACTCTCTTCTTGCCCCGCCATTACCTGCAAACACAAAAGAGTTCCTCATATATCACAGATAAAAGTAAGGACAGTTATAAGATTTAAAAAGGTTAAATGAATAAGTCAATAAGGCATTATATTACTGATATGTCTACTTCATCCACTGATCCGCTCCTCCTCTGTGACCTTCGTTTCTTCACCAGATCAGCGTCTTTGACATGAGAGAAACCTGACTTGGATAGGAAACTGGTCCTTGGTGGTGCCACAGGAGACTGAGCCCCACCTGCCCCAGCACCCTGCAACCGTTTAGTTCTGGGAGGTGGAACCACATCCCTACTGGTTTTACTGTCCTTCTCTGCAGTGCCTGCAGTTCCATTAGTCTCCAGGCTGATACCCTCCTCCTGGAGCCGCTGGGCGCAGTAGCGAACAGTTGCCTCGGGGTCCTCTGGGCTGTCCCGCTCCCCTGCCACCGCATAGCTGGACTCGCTGCTGTCCTTGTCTATGTGAAGCACACTGAGTTGCTGGCCTGTGAAATGGGTGCGGATCTGGTTGAGGTAGGTCATGACAATGAGGCGGTCAGGCACTGCTAGCATGACCATGTCTGAGGGCTCCATCAGCCTGGAAATGCCAAGTTCAGCAAAGCCATTAAAAGCCTGTAATATGAACAAAAACAGATGGATGGATTATATTAGGACTTAGCAACAAACAGATAAAATACATCATGGCAATTATATCAACAGATAATCATCAATCACCTTTTTGTTGTTGTGTTTGATGTCATACGGGTCCAGCATTTCATAATTACTATTTAAGAAAAAGAAGATAAGATAAGATAAGATAACACACAACAGTGTTTGCAGTAAGAGCAGTCTTTCAGTGGTTTCTTACATCTTCTCTGGATGGAAGTGGTGTAATATGGCGCAGAAGGCCAGGCCGTTCCTCCAAGAGGTGCTGAAGTTGGTGATCTTTACTCCCTTGTGACCCTGGGTGACTTCTTGACACCACTCCAGTAGAGACTGGCTGGAAGTCACTAAGGTGGGAGTGGCCATTAAGCTCTAAAACACAATATAGACTTTTATTATTTATTTATTTATTGCCATTTTAGAGGGAGAAGAACAGAGGGATAACACATTTGACACACACTCACTGTAGTAGGAACACCTGTACTTATTCTTTCAATTATTATTATCCAATCAGCCAATCATGTGGCAGCAGTGTCAATGATGGGCTGGTTTGGTGTCCTAGAGGAAACACCTTGTTGACGAGAGACATCAGAGGAGAAGTGGACAAATTGGAGCTGACAGAAAGGCTATGGTCACTCAGATAACCACTCTTTACAACTGTGCTGAGCAGAAAAGCATCTCAGAATACACGCAGGTAGTAGGGTCAGAATTTGGCATCAACAGCATGAATCCATGGACCAACCTGTCTTGTGTCAACAGTCCAGGCTGCTGGTGCTGCTGTAGTGGTGTGGAGAATGTTGTCTTCTTAATGCCAATCAAACATGGTCTGAATGTCTCAGTCTCTCTGAGTATTGTTGCCGACCATGTTCATTCCTTCACGGCCACAGTTCACAGTTCTTCTAATGGCTCCTTCCAGCAGGATCACGCTCCATGTCACAAACACCTTTGTGTTTCTGTGCATCTGATCAATGTTGGTCCAATACTCACTACACTTTCCTCTTTCTTCCCCAGCTCATCGCTAACTTAGTCTGCCTGCCTACTTTACTTTTCTACTACATAACAGTGAGTTTATCAGAGCTTTTCTGAAAACAGCTGCCTGGTGGAAATGAAGTTGATGAGAACAGAGATTGAAAATGAGCTGAAAAAGGCTAACAAGATCCTTGGAGCTGAGAGCAACTGCAGAACTGTTGATAATTCTCTGTGGGTTTCTTCATTCAGAGCAACATCTTACACATTACACACAGTCATTTGATCAATTGCTAATATACAAATTTAGCAAGTATTGAAGAGATTTAACATACTTCTGGAGCAGCAGCCCCATCTGCAGGTCTACTATGCTGTGTTGTTGGTTCACTGGTTTGATGGAGGCCAGCAACTTGTGACTTGCTGTCATGTAGGTAGGAACCACTCAAACGCTTCTTGCCACAAGACACAGGTACTGGCTGACCTGAAGAATCTTCTGCTCTCTCCCTTTGCCTGAAAAGACACAAAGAAACAAAACAAATTGATTAATAAATTCTGCAATCACGTTTTGCTAATGAACTGACATACAGAGACAGTATATTAAGTAATTATAACATGGGGAAATGAGAATAATGAGGATAATGCAAAATACACACATCTTAATTATAAGTGCACCCCCCACACCTTAATGTGTACTGGCTAATCTTACCTTTCATCATCTAAACAACCAGCAGCTACATCTACAGACACAAAGCCAAAGTCCAACTCTTCATCCCTCATTTCCTTCCGTGAGGTTATTTCCATTGGTTCACTGTCTTTATCATCTTCTACATGCAGCCAGTCATCCTGAGAGGATGCAATAGTGGAAGCAAGGGACTTATCAACCTCTGCTTCCAGAACTTTTTTAATGTCATCCTGCACAGGCACAGTCTCTGTAACTTTCTGTAAGTCATCAGAAACTACAGGTTTATCTGTAAAAGTCCAGCCTTCAATGATTTCATCCTCTGGCTTTTCAGTATCTACTACAGAATCTGGCCGAGGAAAGTGTTCTTCTTGCATTGCTGCTAATACTTCCTGTTCCACCTCTGATGTAACATCTTCACCTTGGATTGTGACAAAACCTCCTTCAGAGATCACACTTGAATCCAGCGATATTGGCCGTTCATTTGTTTCATTGCAGGTGTTAGATGTATCCTCTGAGTTTCTCTGAGACGATTCCATTTCCACAGTGAGTAAACTGTCTACAGGTGGTGTGCTATCTGAATAAGTTGCACTGAGACGTTTCTTTGACCGGGGCAGTGGAAGAGGCAAACTTGATTGTTCATTGTGTTGGACTGATTCATGACCAATTGAATCAGCTGCGGTGTCTGACTGGCAGGGAAGTGGTGAGCCAGAAATTATAGTGTCATCTGGGAAGGAATCACTGAGACGTTTCTTTACTCTTGGTTTTGGTATAGGCAAGCTTGAGGTTCCTGGGGTCCCGTGTGAAGTACCACCATCCTCTACCTGAACATCGCTCTCAGTGGTCAATATGTTTCTCCTCAGCCGTACACCAGCCACTTCTGTAGATGTAGAAGGTTGATTAACCTGATGAAGAGAGGGAAGGTCTTTGCTTTCTTTAGGTGTTGAGGAAATAGATGAAGGAACACCTTGCTTTGCTGCCTGTTCCTCTTCTCCATGGGAAGTCTGAGATGTTCTCTCTGTAGCTGTAAAGTCATCTGGGAAGGAGCCACTGAAACGTTTCTTCACACGAGGTCTTGGGATAGGATAAGTTGTCTGTTTGTCCCTCTTTTCCTCTGCTATCTCTGGTGCATTTTCTGATTTCTGAGAGGATGGGATGTTGGCTGTATCAGCAGCTGTGTGACCAGCTGTCTTTGACTGCTTTATCTTTTCTATATCACCCACCACAGTGTTGTCAGTCTGGACTTTTACATTTTGGGCCATGATTTCCTCTTTACTGACAATTTTGCGAGGTTTGATTGGAGGCAATTTCTTGCCACGTTGTGGAAGACATATCTTCTTGATGATTGAGAGAGGAGCAGTTTGCTCAACATGAAATATCTCTGGCTCTGCCTTTGGGGTGATGCTGTCAATTCCCTTTGTTTCTGAGGGAGGAACTAAGTAAGAAGACACCTGGTTGGATGTATTAATGTCTTTTGTAGGCCATTGCAGGTCACAGTAGGTTTCTTGAGAGTACTGTTTGGTTGTATGGTCTTTTCTTTCCACCGGTTGTGCAGGGATCATTTCAGTGGCTGTTTTACTGGGTTCATCAATGTTCTGTAAAGGTTCAAGATCGCCTGAGACATCAGAGCTTTTCTTATAAGGTTGAGGAGGACCGGGATCAGATGTTTCTGCAGCAGAACTAACTTGGGCTTTCAAATCTTGCTGGTCATGAGCTAGCTTCTCTCTAGTGACACTGTCTTTTCTCCTCAGGGGTTTGCAAGGGGCAGAATTCTGTGCAATTTCAGGTGGCAAGCTACCATCTCTTCTTTTCACACGAGGAGGGGGAGTGAAATTCATGGATATTTGCACAGATTCTTCTTCCCCTTTGTCTTTATGGTTACCTGTGTATGATGTTACTTGAGCTCTGACACTTTCTTGGTCATGACCATTCTGTGGTACATCTAGAGGAACGCTATTGTCTCCTTTATTTATGCAGGAAGATGGAGCAAGGTCAGTAGCTTGTTGTGTGGGAATTATTTCACCAGTAGAATCTATCTTTACAGACTGGACTGGAATAACTTCAGTAAGGAGCTTCACAGATAAACCATCAGGTTTTTTTTTGCGATCTGGTGTTAAACTATCCTTCCTTCTGATTGGTCGTATTGGAACTGTGTCTTTTTCTTGAATAGACCCTTTCTGTTGAGGTTCTGGAACTTTTCTCTTTGGCTTTCTGCCTCGCTGAGAGACAACAACGTCAGCTTGTGGTCCAACTGGACTAATGTTTTGAGCATCTGAGGGTCTGTCTCTATGTTTGTTTGCATCTGTTAGTGACTCATTTGATGTGGGCTGCAGGGTATTAGCAGAAATTTCTTCCATGCCTGTTGGTTCAGGGCTTAAGGAAAAGAAAGGAAAAACTTCAGAATTTGTTCTTCTTGACTTTGTCATACAATAGTACCATGCACCCTATCTCCAACCAACTATTAATCAGCTTGACTTAAAAGACAGCAACCAATCTTGTTTCACAGCATAAAGCGCAAATTACCATCATTTTCAATATTCTGCTAAACTTATGTACATGCGTACTATCATTAAAACAACACAGCAGCACATAGAGGACAGAAAGACAAACTTTACAACACCTATATGCATCACTGCATAAAAAAGAAACTTTACCACTACCCATCACAACGCCAATCCTTACAGCTATTGCAAAGAGTTGACCAACACAATTTCCTGAGTAGTAAGCGCTCATAAGCAGAACGAGAGACAATGTTATCACCAGAAAAGCAGGACATGAACACTGTCACACCGTGCAACTAAGGTAGGTCATAGTCCACCAGAACTCACCCTTTATCCAGCTGTGAGGAAGACGACAGAGTTCTAACCTTATCCTGTTCTGTCTCAGTCTCGTGCCTTGCTAACAAACTTTCTGATGTTTGAACAGAGTCCTGTCCTTTGAGTGATCTCTCTGTATGCCGTTGATCAAGACAGGCCTCTTGTTCCTCTACTTGCTCACTATCTTCTTTTGATATTTCAGTGATATCTGCCTCTGTCAATGGCGGCCATTTCTTCATGCTTGCACAAACTAAAAACCCATCATCGCTGTCGGTTGTTGGTGATGGAGATGCTGATCGATCACCTACCAAGTTCCACATGTAAGGCTCAGCACTTGTTGGATATTCAACATTTTGTTCAGTGTGACTGTCTTCAAACTGGCCCTCTATCTTCTGTATAGGAGTAGCGTTGTATGCGAAATGTAGGAAAAACTCATCTGAAGGGCTCACTCTCTTGTCCATCAGTTCCCTATAGGAGATAGCCTTGGGTTGGTGATCCGCCTCAGTTAAAGTAGAGCTAGATGGCCCCAATATGGATGCTACTGTTTCGTAACTGTGAGAAATGGATAGTGGAGTGTGTGAGTGAAACCTGGAACCATGCAAAAACAATAGTTTCAATAAACATGCATCTAATTCAAGAAACCACTGAGTATTAGAGATACTGAAATAAATCCCATGCAAAAGCAGTCCAGTTTTACATTCGATTCAAACTTTAATAACATCAAACCAAGAATATACATTCAAAACAATAAGAAGACAAGCCTTAAAGTTTCTGTACCTTCCACTCAATTTTAATAAATGAGATTAAAATGGGAACAAGTCCCCAATCCAGATAAATAGATTCCATGAAGATATTATTGAGGTCTTAATGCTGTGAGTGCAAAGACCTTTGGTCTTTTTTTAATCCTCAGGATTACTTTTAATTGATGCACACCATGTTGCATGCTAGACACCATTCGTTTCAGAACAGCCTTATACTTACCCTTTATGGAAAACACCCACAATAGCCTTCACTAATCCTGAGGTCTCTTCTTCCTTTGTTGACAAAGAGACTTCTGCCTGTTTTTCTGTTACTGTTCCCTCTGCCTCCAAAACTTCCCAACCCAAGACCCCCAACGGCTCTGATGTGTCCAATGGTTTCTTCGCTGTTTGGGTCTCCTCTGCTGCTATTCTCTCTATTTGTGATTTGCTGGGGACCCAAATATAGAGGATTTTACGGCATGGTCCACATACCTCATGCAGCAACACAATACAAAATGTAATTATAGATAGACTTTGAAATTTACCATGCACTGTATAATCGATTTACTAAAGCTTTATTAATCCAAGCAATCCATGTAAAGCAAGCACTAAACTGGCTCCTTTCACAGCAAACATTGCAAGAGCATTGGGCTCTTCAACTTACCCATCATCTACAGAAAGGTCTACATTTTGCTTTGCATCGTCTTTGAATTTCTCCACTGTCATAAAAACAAACATAATAAAAATTGCGAAAAGAAACAAGACAAAGAAAGATAAATGTGGCCTTGATTAAAACAATGTAAATCTCACCATGCACAAGTTCTGTACTGGAGCTGCTGACAGATGTAGAGGGAAAACCAGGAATTCTTGTGTCGTTGAGATATGACTGAGTTGACTGTTCATGAGGTAATTCCTGTGTTGTATGCTTTTCAGCAGAAGGCAGAACTGGAGTAGCCAATTTGTCTTTCTCAGTTGGATTCAATTGCAAAATGCTGGGGAAACCAGGAAGTTGAGTCAAATGTGGACATGATGGAGTCATTGCTACCATGCACTTCATTTCATCTTGCTGATGTTTATGTTTTGCTGGAACTGTTGAAATAAGACAAATCTTCTCATTCCGCAGTTTATAAAACCAGGACTTGCCCTGTGTAGTCCTAGTTTGTATTTTTATATGTTCAGAGCTAAGCATCCTCGCTGATGGAAAACCTGGAACACATGAAACACATGGAGCAGATGTGTATAAGCTGACCATGTTTGGTGGTCTGTTTACAACCTGAGCTGATGGAAAACCCCATACTCGGGCTTCTTTTGGGCAGGATGTCACTAATGTCACCATGCTTTTTATGTTGTTGTGATATAGCTGGTCCTGTCCAGCAAGTCCCATAATCATGTCTGCCCTCTTCTTCTGTGACTTTATCACAATTGGTTTTGTTTCACTTAGCCACTCTGTGCTTGTGATTGTGGTCATGGATGCAAATCCTTTGAGACTTGAAACACTGCAGCAGCAAGGTACACAACTTATCATATTGGGTTCAATCTTGGATTTGGGTTGAGGTGCAGAGGGGAACCCAGGGATCCTGGATGCTTCTGGGCAAGATGGTACCATGGCCAGCATTAACTTTGCAGTTTCTCCATCTTGATTTGGACTGTGTATCACAAACACTGTCTTCTTGGGACGCTTGTCACACAAAGTGTGTGGATCAAAAAGCCATTGGAATTTTGAGGCCCCTTCAAAGGATGCAAATCCTGGGAAACTGGATACTTTGGAGCAAACAGGTACAAGACTCAGCATATTGTATTGAGGGTAAGATGGGAAGCCTGAAATCTTTGATGCTCCTGGACAAGAAGGCACCAAAGCAATCATGTTGTTTAGGTTGTCTGTGGTAATTGGTGATCTGTTAATCCTAAATTGAGTTTTCTTTTGTGGTCTGTGCATCAATGAAGCCAGTTCCACAACCCATCCTTTTTCCTTGTGCCCTTCAACTGATGCAAAACCAGTTACGGTAGAAACTAGAGGGCACAAAGGAAGGAGGTTGACTACATTTGGGCCATAATACACAGTTTTTGGATTAGGGATAGCTGGGAAACCAGGAATACTTGACACTTTAGGGCAGGATGGTACACAGGAAATCATATTCTTCATTATCTTTTTGTTGTCATTTGATGTGTTAAGTATGATCTCCCTCTTTGGTAGCCTCTTCAACTTTGTCCCCTTTTCTGTCACCCACTCTACACTTATATCCCCAACAAGTGATGGGAATCCAGGTATTTTGGAAACGTGGGAGCACATTGTAGAAAGGCTGATTATATCTAGTGTAGAATATACACTTAGGGGATTTGGATGAGAGGGGAATCCTGGCATCCGTGCCTCTTTTGGACAGGATGGTGCAAGGGAAACCATTGCTTTCATTACTCTCCTAACTCTTTCACATATGTCAGGCAGTGACACCTGCTTTTCTTTCATTCTTGGTTCAAAAAGTGGCTCCTTGCTCATTGTCCAGTCTTTTGAATAGTGAGATGATGGAAATCCCGGTATTTGCGACACTTTTGAGCATGAGCATATAAGACTGACCATATTTGTCATGTCAACAACATACATCGTTCTTGGTTTTGGTACAGAGGGAAAGCCAGAGATGTTGGATTTTCTTGGGCAACTTTGCGCAAGAGAAACAACTCCTTTCATGTCTTTGTGTATTTTATTGTTATTTAGGATTAATACAGAAGCCTTTTTAATTTTCTTCTCCCATAATGGCTGATGAATAGTGTTCCAGTCTTTGCTGTCAGCTTTCTGCACTGATGGAAAACCAGCCATACTGGAGACAGCTGGGCAAGATGGAAGGAGACTGATCCTACCAGACCCATTATAGATCACTGGAGGTTCAAGAGCAGATGGAAATCCAGGGAAGCGAGCCTCTTTTGGACAAGTTCGGGCTAAAGATGACATGGCCTTCATTTCTTCATTGTAATGTCTATCTTCGATCACGGCTATGTTCATTTTTGGCAGTGTTACCCCAAAGGCTTTGTGATCTGTAGCCCAGCCTTGATGATGCTCCGTTAATGACGGAAAACCTTCAACACTAGACTTTTTCGGACAAGAGCTTAAAAGACTCATCATGTATGATTTATGATATACTACAGTAGGTTGTGGAACTGGTGTGGAACAATATTTTGGGCAAGTTGGTAACAAAGCTCCCATTTGTAAACTGTGTTGTGGTACAGAGGGGAACCCTGGATTTCTGGCCTGTCTGGGACAAGACGGTACAAGAAAAAACATTTCCTTCTTGTTCTTTTCATCCTCATTTGATGAACATGGCAGTAATATTTCCTTCATTTTTGATTGTTTCTCCCAGACTGGCTTTTGATCTATAAGCCAGTGTTTTTCTTCTTTTACAGGCAATTTGGATGGCATGCCAGCAATGTTTGTCATACTGGGACAGGTTTCCATGATAGAGGACTGCTTGTTTTTATCCACAATTTGTTCTGCTAGATCTGCTTGTCCTTTTAAATGAAGAGCACACTCAGTGATTAGAATTTCCTTATCCTTTGATGGATTATTCTGAATAGATTCGCTGTCCAGTAGGCATTCGTTCATTTGTTTAGCAGTAGCAGGAAATTCAAGTATGCCACTAACTGCTGGGCACGTTGGCAACAGATCTGCCATCTCAGCTTCTGTCTTTGTCTTCATTTCATCATCAGTGTCTAACATCATGGCAGCATCAGGGAACAATGGGGCATTACTGACCATTTCTCTTATCATTTCCATTTCTTCCTCTGATGTATTTCTAGTTATCTCTGTAGTTGCCTTTGGCAGCTCCTCCCATTGTATGGTTGTGTTTGCAGGATGTTTTTCTAACTGCTGCTCAGCATTATTTATTTGGGTATGGGATGGGGGTTCTGCTGCATCGGATCCAACGGGGCCTGATGGCTGTAGTGAAACCATGTTTGTGTCTCTAAAGAGAAGGTAAATACAACGTTATAGACAGAGTTTACTGTAGGAGTGTGCTAAATAAATGAAATATTGTATCTATAGTGTTGCATTAGAGCATTCCCCTTTCCAACACTGTGCAGTAAGAGACTTTGGTGTGAGTACTAATAAGTTTTAGTCTCATGCATGCAAATTCAACAAATGCTGTTAATTCAAAACTTACTCCAGCTTGTATTAACAACTATCCAAAAAGCTGCACTCTGGCAAGCAAAACATCATGCCACACCATTTGTTAAGTTTGATCCTACAACTTCTGTTGTAAAAAGCAGTTCTGCAAAGCTAGCACTAATACTGGGTGAAACAATACTTCAAATTCTTCACAGTATATTCCTCTTATACTACTTAGAATGGTACCATTTATAAAAAGGAAGTAAATAAAAAAAACATTGAACTGTGTCTTTCTATAATAAATAATTGCATGATGACAAATGCATGGATGTTGCTACACACCTCTGCGTTGACTTAAATCATGCAACACAGATAATTACACCTAGATCAAACTGACAAGAGACACGATCACACCTTAGCTCTTCAGTGTTATAGCATGTAGTATTGACATCTCCTGACTGTACTGAAAACATTTTATTTGACTCATCTAAGGGCATGAAACCATGACCTGCCACAGTGACTTCAGCAGTCTCTGTTTCATTAGCAGTATGTCCATTCTCATACATTGATATCTGTTTCTAGAGTATCCTTTCGACCCAAGGGGCTGAAACAATGACAATGAAATCTGTATAAATTTGGGCACCACAGAACAACTCAAAGCTCCAGAAATCGCACACACAGCAAAAGCAAATTTTGCAATAATCATTCAGATGGTGTTTAGATGCAAATGCATTATTGTGGAAATGCAACACATCTTTGCATCACTGTGCAAACCAATCCAACCCACCTCTTCCTAACACTCAAGAATAATGGCATGTCAGGTACGGAGTGCCACATTCTGCAATGCAAGTCTCTGAAAACAGAATCAAAAAGAAAATGTTTCAAAAACCAAATCTGCTAATGTCACAGGCAGAACTCCAACTCTTAATATCCAACTCACTCACCCTTTTTCTAGAACAGCTACTTCTTCAGCCTCAGTCCAACAGCCCTGTTCATCTTTATGCATCTCCAAAGGTGAGCCCACCTCCGATTTTGCTTTCTTTGTGTCAAGATCTAATCTGGATGGAATGGTCTCATCACATAACATCTCAATCCCATTAGATCTAGAGGATGGCTGATCCACTTGGATTTCAAAAGTTGATGATGGTAACTCTCTGACAACCTCGATGGGACAAGTTGAAGACTCAATTGTCAATCCTTGTTGTACATCCTCTGGTGCATCTTGGCTAGGGAATATAAACTGCACATATTTATCTCTGTCAGAAACCTTACAAAGGGACTGTTGTTCAAATGACAGCTGTGTACTCATCAATACTGGTGTTTTAACTGGCCACCCCTGTCCTAACTGGTGCACATGTGTTGATGGTATCCCAAGAACAGAAGCTTTCTCTGGGCAAGAAGGCACAATATTCACCATATTTGGAAGCTGGTCTATGTAACTAAGAGCAATGTTTGGACAAGAAGGTTCAAGAGAAAGACTTGCCTTCATCATATCTTTGCTTGGAGACCAATACTTTTTGTGAAATTGACAGCTGCCTTGCATGTTTATCATCACAACTGGCCAGTCCCCTACTTTAGAATAAGAAATAACTGACACTCTTGAGGGGAAACCAATGATACTTGACTGTGTTGGGCAACATGGTTTCAAGTGTACCATGTCTAGATTTTTTTCTACAATGGCATCAACAGCTTGGGGAGCAGATGGAAATCCAGGATTCAGGGCTTGTCGTGGGCATGATGGAAGCATACTCAACATTATTTCCTTGTCCCTATATGACATTTCCTTAACTGTAAAATCTCGGTAAACCACTCCATACGTTCTATTGAATGGCTTTTCCCAAAATGCACTCCTGTTCAAACACCAGCTATCACACTCTTTTGCAATATTTTTTGCAGGTAGACCTGGAATTTTACCTTGTTTTGGGAAAGTGGCTAAGGATTTCAACATGCTGGGAGCCTCTTTCACCAAAGCTTCCACTGCTCTCTCTCCTACCTTTGACGGAACTCCAAGAGTATTAGAGTGTTTGGGACATGATGGCAACATTGATACCATTATTCTGAGCACTCCCTTCTCTCTAAAATAAATCTTATGGTCATGTGTTACTGACACTCTTCCTGGGTTTGTTAATGGCTTTTCCCATACTGGCTGTTTGTCTACATTCCATTCCGCTTCATCAGATTCACTGTGGATTCTAGATGGTATTCCACAAACTCTGGAATGTGTTGAACAAGTAGGCAGCAGATTTATCATACTTGGCATATCTGCTGACATCTGACATGGTAC